TGTTCTAAAAAGGTTTTGGGTGGATGCTATACTTGCAGCTGCTTATGTCATCAATCGCATGCCCTCCAAGGTGCTGAACTACATGGCCCCTCATCAATTACTGTACCCCCAGTCTCCTTTATTTTCCATCCCCATGAGAGTCTTTGGTTGTCGTGCCTTTGTCCATGACTTGTCTCCATCCTGAGGCAAGTTAGACCCTCGGTCCATTCCTTGTGTCTTTCTGGAGTATCCCTCCTCTCAAAAAGGGTATTGGTGCTTTGATCCAGTTAGTTGTAAGTTTTTTGTGTCTATGGATGTGTCCTTCTTTGAGTTTGAGCCATTCTTCCCTTCTTCTCCTCAGGGGGAGAGTAGTAGTGTGGAAGAGGAGAAGCAGGTTCAGGTATCTCTTCCTTCTATTCTGGACCTTACTCCCTTCCATGTCTTCCAATGTACACGTCGTAGAGATCAGCGGTGTGATAAAGATATGGAGCAGCCAAACATGGAGCAACCGACACCATTAGACTCCTAGGAGGTAAGTCCACCCCCTAACCCTGCTCCTACTGTGGATGACCTTGACATTCCTATTGCCCAACGAAAGGGAGTCAAGTCATACACTACCAAACACCCTATTGCCCATTTTGTCTCCTATGATCACATTTCCCCCTCATACCCTGCCTTCCTATCTGCAGTTGATTGCATCCCTATTCCTAGAAATGTTGCAGAAGCCTTAAAATGCCCTGAATGGACAGATGCCATGAAGGAGGAGATTAATGCTCTTCACAAAAACCAGACTTGGGAATTGGTGGATCTTCCAAAGGGGAAAGACCCTGTGGGATGTAAATGGGTGTTCACGGTTAAGCACAAGGCAGATGGAACAGTTGAAAGATACAAAGCAAGATTAGTAGCCAAAGGGTACACACAAGTATACGGGGTTGACTATGATGAGACTTTTGCCCCAGTGGCTAAGATGAACTAAATTAATGTTCTCCTATCCTTAGCTGCTAATCTTGACTGGGAATTGCATCAACTGGACATAAAGAATGCTTTTTTGAATGGTGACTTAGAGGAGGAAGTATACATGGTTCAACCCCCTGGATTCTGTGCCAAGGGGAGTGAAAATAAGGTGTGCAAGCTGCGAAAGTCTCTTTATGGCTTAAAACAGTCTCCCAGAGCCTGGTTCAGTAAGTTTCACATGGCAGTTCAACAGATGGGCTTCAAACAATGTCAATCTGATCATACACTCTTTGTGAAGAGATGTCAAGAACAGGTTGTTGTATTGATAGTGTATGTAGACGATATCATCATTACATGAAGTTGGAGCTCAGAGATACAGAACATGAAACAATTCCTTGCATCTAAATTTGAAGTGAAAGATCTAGGCCCCCTGAAGTATTTCCTTGGGATTGAAGTTGCTCGCTCAGAAAAGGGTATCTTTGTCTCTCAAAGGAAATACACCCTTGATCTATTACAAGATACAGGCAAATTAGGTGCAAGGCCGAC